AGAATAGAGTTGGACAGCGATGCGTTAGCATAATAAGTTCCTTCACAAGCGCTGATATCTTCTTCTACGTTGCTTTTTGCATCTCTATCGCTATTGTTTAAATGTTAGTGTTGAAAGTTTTACGATCCACGTTGAGAGAAAGAGTTTGTTAGAAGAATGGTTATGTTAAAAAAGGTTTAACTTGTGTTTTATGAGACGAAACCTGCTTTTTAGAGGTCCTCCGACATACATTAGTCCGTTGGGGCTGAATTTAGTTTATGACGAGGTGAGCNAACTCGGATCAGAACGAGATAGCTGAGTGATGCGTGAGATGAATGTGTATGCGTGTGTTTGTGCGGGGATTAAGTGTGCGGGAATTACATCATTTCACCACATGCATGCAACTGGACAGAATAAACCAACTGCTGGTAGCTGGCTTTTTTAAATGAAGCTATATATTTCGGCATCAACAATCGATTAGTTTATTTACTACAAACCATACTACTGGTATTTCTTCATTTTAATGCCTACAGAGTACGCTAAGGACTCACCCGACCGATTCGAGTACTATGAAGAAAATTGGTTTAAACAAGTTCATTTGAGAAGTTTGATTATACCCCATTTCCACCTTTAAAAGACATCGTTGAGAGTGAGCATTTTTATTTAATGATCTGTAATCATGCTTCATAGGTGTCTTGCAACAAACCACTACAGTCAGTCATACCAGTTGCATGCTCCAGAATAAATTGGTATCATACTACGCTCCATTCTGGATCTTTCTGTTAGCGTTCATCATATGATTGATTGGAATAACGGTTTTCTGGTTGTAAACCTCTCCTTACTCCCTTTCCACATTGATCCAAGGCCACTCGAATTTAAAGATGAAACACGGTTGATGCCATTGCTATACAAATACCAGCCCGCATGTAACAGCACAAAGTACTAGCTCAAAGTGCTTCAACCTCTCTGGCTTAGTGGAAATCCCAATACTATCGTATTTTTTCCTTTCCCTTATGGAATGAATACTTTTGAAAGCCGATCAACGGAACGGCTGCGTTGTGATGTAGTAACTGATGGAAAGTTCGATGAAGTTGGGGAGGTTCGAACACATGACCTCTGGGATAATGTGATGGTAATGCTAACCGCTTTTTACTGATTCTCTATGTAGGGTTACAAACAACACTGGACAACTGTTTTGTGGAGAATCGTCGACACCGCCTCCTACTTGACCATATCTATCATTTTATGATAGTGAAATAAACTGAGGAAATAAAAACACGGTATAAATCTTTGGTCCGTGATGTTGGACTGGTGAAAACCAAGATGTATTTAGCCCTAAACGCCTGCTCAGAGCCACACAATAACGAAAGTGTAACGTGCAGTTGGTGTATCCACCCACCCTTCTCTAGTAAACGTACCTTAGATAGACATAGTGATAATCTGTACCTAACTCCCATATTGGAATAATGTCTTTTAAGCAAAACAATTACTCACATTGGATCTGTAAGAGCACCATTAGGAATCTGTAAGCTCCTTTCTTTGCTGTTCACCATTTTTCCGGCAGGTTTTTGTGTGATCATTTAGTACTCACCGGGTAGTGAGAGGTAGAAAAGAACCCACCATGCGTGAATGACTTGCATCAAATGAGGTAACTTTTACTACGGCCGATACTCATATTCACCGTCGTCATTATCAACAATACGCGAGATACTGTTTTTCGGATGAAGAAGTGGTTGTGTTTTCATCCGGGTTGGGCGGGTTCTATTTGGTCTATTTTTTCGTATTTTGTATGTTTTGATAGCATTAGGCGCATCATTAATAAATACTGTTTGGTGCTAATTGCGTTTGGGTACGAATGTGACGCTTTTCTAAACTTTTTCATGCACATTCATGAGAGAAACATTTTACGGTAATTTCGTTTTCTGCAAATATGCTACAGAAAATCCGACACCCTATGCTCAGTTCTGCTAACTAAGGTCTATAGAGTCGTGGCGTCTGTCCAAAAACACTCACCATTTGTGTTGGATGTGTGGATCACCGCCAAGTTAAAAGAGCGGAACCCGTCATTCAGACTCATGCCTGTTTCACCCGGTTGAAGACACACCGTAATGTGCTACTTGCATGATAAGTTCATTATCATGGACGCACTTATGATTGAATGCCTTTTCAAGGAGTAAACGTTCAGCAATCACTTCAAAAAGAATTTGGGCCATGTGCACTAATTAGGGCAGAACATAGAGAAAATGTGATATTCCCCGTGAGGCTGGGCTTATACATCGAAAATAGCGTAACAACAAACAGTAAGATCACCTCGGTCTGTTGATCTGGTACCTGACCAACGCCTGAGAACTGGAATCACGTGAAGGAATCATTTTCGATAACAAGTTATTCATTTAGCGTCCTACTACTCTTGTAACGTTAGCAACATGTTCTTCATTCCAACAATGAATGCAAAGACGCGTACTCTGAATAAGTAGTTCAACCTGCTGATTACTGTCCTGAAGGAGGCAGACGGTAGTTGAAAATAAGACAATTTTATACCTAAAAACTATTTTTATAGACTTCTTCTGGCCTTTTGTTGGATATCAAAGACGTGCCCTTGTTTTTCACACTGAAAATCTACAATGAATTTGCTCAATTCCTAATTCGACTTTCGGATCGATGTTCATGGTTTGAAAGCTATCCTGAAACATTTTTCCAGAACTTGATTCATTCATGTAAAAGAAATTAAAGACTGTTTGATCTCCACCAAAACAAAATAGGTATCTTTGCTAATTTTGCTCCAAATAGACTGAAGTAGGTTCCTTACGAGTCCCAAACAGGATGAAACAGCTGTCCAGTGCTCTTTGTCCGTTATCACAAACATTTCCATCACATGTAAATGTATGAAATTGTGAGGAATTAACGACCTCCCAAGAAGTGAAAACCACACCCAAGTGCGCCTGGTTCCTCTTAACAATCGAATGAGCTAATACAAGCTTGCTACTCTAAGCTCCTTACTGTTCGTGTATGCTGATTACTATTTGATTACTATTCATTCGATAACAATTGTTTTTATTTCAAGTCAACTCAAAATAATCTAGAAATTTTTGTCGATGAACCAGTCTCGTGAACGGCATTTTGTACATTTCGTTGTCAGAACACTGTTTTGTTTAATATTTCATGTGTTACAATGAGTGATCTTTTCATTACAATCACAGTCTGGACAAGACGGGAAATGTTCTGTACTTTCAAGTGCCAGCAACCACCGGAACTACAGCCGAGGCGGTCGCACAAGCACTGAGTAGGTTCCCAATTGAATAGTGTTTTACTGTATTTCTAAATTTTTTCTTGAGCTAGCGTGTTACCACCAAATGCGTAAGATGAAAACGTGCCATCGATTTCAGCAAATAGGTTGAATGAATTATGAGCATATATCAGGTTTTACGCTGATTCATCAGAAAAATTGCTGTAGTCCCCTGTTTTAGTTTGTAAGATCGTTATACATAATTTCTGAATTATTCTTCGGAGCCAAGGTTCAAGCTTCCGGTGGATTTGGGAAATTCCGGAAATATTGTCTTTCACAACACATTTCGAAATACCGTCGGTTTCCAGTTTTCGATGCACTGAAAGAATTTTAATTGTATAATTATAATTGCGCACTCTACTGACGCGGATTTCTTGTGTGAGCCATCCGAAATGGCAAAAGTTAAGTATATCAACGGAATCTGAAACGTCGCTATGCCAACAGAGCGATTTACAACTTAGTAGTTGGGGTATTCAGTAAACGATCAATGTTCGATTGCATTAAGAAACAAAATTATGATTCCGAAGTCCGCTCCATTTGTATTTTGACCCAAACGATTTGAAATGTTTAGCGAGCAATAAATGCGGAACTTACGTCTGACAATGGTTATAGATTTCGCGGACTAACTGCTTTATTCCATAATTATTATCACCCTAAATACATTTGGTTTCCATGAGTTCATCTCGCTTTCCGCTCAGTTTATTCTTTAACTAGCTTTTATATGCTTTCCATTCATTATTTCAGGAGAAGGAAAAGGAGATTTCGAAGGTTTTCACACTGAACAGGTCGGATTCGGGCGAGGCGTGAGTGATTTGAGATTTTTATATCAACCGCTAATCTATCTGTTCTAATAAATAACGGCTTTTGCATTGTACTACTGGTATAAATATCAGTAACTAAACGCAAAATGTCATTTCGATAAACAGTTTCTGTGCCGTTAGGAATATCAGTCTTGAAAGAATTACGATACACCACTCACTATTCACATGTAACTGTGAGTCAAATAATTGTACGATAGTCTGTGTGAAAATGTTCGTGACCATATTGGATGCATACAGGATGTTTTACAAATGATATCCAGTGGTTCAAAGAGTCCCACAGCACATGATGATAACATAAAATTAGCAAACCAGCTCATCTCCAGTACATCTTATTCATGCTCTAAGAACACAAAATATACTACCAGTTACATATAGGGATTACCAAAGGAAGAGGAAAGTAATTAAAAGCTCAGTATTTTGCATCATAATTCGTCCAGGCCTCCGTTCGAGCGTATCCGTGAGCATCATCCTGTGTGGGTAAGAAGAGGAGTAGGAAGTACGATTGTATCGCACCTTGCTGACACTAGTTCCATGACCGTGACCGAAGCGTTCTGAAAGTTGTTAGAACGGGACGGTCTAGACACGTGCTTCCGTATTCTAGCCACAACAGAAGCAGCAAGCATCTGCCTCCTCTAACCCCGTCTGTATGCCCAAAAACAATTGTTTGAACGCCGCTTCACCTCTACGCGGTATATAAACCAAATTTCTTTGAACGGACCACACGTTATTGAAAGCATATTTTTTTCGTTCTGATTCGCTTTCCTTTACTATTTTACACGTGATTAGATTACCAAATAAAAACTGATTTTCCGAACCCCTATTCCATTTTGACCACGCAATATTTTCTCTTTTTTATTCTCACTCCTCACTTATCGTAGTATATTAATTTCTCGCAGACTCCACTCAACCCATCGATGGAAGAGACTGTGACACCTAAGCAATACACCGTAACCCTGGTTGTTTGTCTGTCAATCTTATCATTTGTGGTCGTTCTCAGTCTGGCCTACTGTATCCAACTGTGTCGCCGTAAAATTCAAGATAGGCGAAATGATCGTTCGACCCAAAAAGCCTCACTGATTGAAGTGGAAAAGCAGTCACCTAGACGAGGTCAAACTCCGACGATGTTGCAAAATATTCGCGAAGCTTTTGAACGGCATTTGCGTCCGGAAAAAACGAAAGCTGAAAAGCTGGCCAGTCACATGATCAACGAACATTATCAACCGCCAATGGAGGAGACCATCGGTCAACCACCAGATCATCCGTCCGATGTAAGTAAGCCATTGCATCAGAGATTGAGTGATCATTTGATTTATTGATTGACTCTGATTGACTGATTGATTGGCTGATCGTGAACCAATAATCAGTGAATCTTTTCGTAGGTTTGTTTCGTATTTATGTGCTTGAGCATTTCTGTGCAAAAATACAAAGGGACTTGGTTTAGCTTCCGAGAATGGCAGAAATCAATGAATTGCTTGCGCGTCTCTAGCTCATTTGACGTACAACATGCACTGAACAAACTATGGCTTTTAATTGGTTCAAGTAGGTGATCAGTCAAAACTGGGAGATCGGGATCGGTAAATGTACGGCGGCGTAGTATCCATCTCCTAGTCGGTTACCCGTAAAGTGCAGTTCCAGACCATCAGTCTAATTACAGAAATAAATTGTAAAAGCATTTGATGCTCAGGTATTGCATTCACTTCTTCCAGCTTAAATTATGTATGTAATTAAATATGCCTCTATTCAAACAATTTCAGGCTGTCCCTCACATGCGTTTTTAGATCGGATCAAGTGTGATACCCATCCATTTGTGCGCGAGAAGAAATTTAAAATGGATTAGAAATTCAAATGTCTAATAATCACAGATCACCAATTATTAATCAAGAAAACAGTGTTTCAAGCGTTCTGGTAGATATGATACATTCTTATCATTTTGCAATTTTACCAAAAACCTCAGGATTGGATAATAATTGAACGATTTGGGAATCAATTTCTAACTCGAAACGAGGTAGCTGTGTTATAAATGACGACGCTGACAAAAAATGGCATTAACCCAGGCGGATATACCAAACCACCATTGCACGAATGTGCAATTTTTCCTGATCGATTGGTCGATTGACAATCGGTGATCAGGTTATTTTTCTCAAACACTTTGAGAAAACTTGTGATGAATCAGAATTTATCAACTGTAGTGATACATATTTCTACTGATTTATTAAACTGCTAGCATTGATGTGATATTTAGTAAGCAAAACGACACGTTCCTGTGCTAAGAGGACTGAAGAAAATGCGTATGATTCGTGAGGACTTTACTTTAGACTAGGTGTGGCCATACGGAGACTGAAACTGTCGAGAAATTTTCCAATCATTCCAATCACTATTTGTGTTTCACATACCATATTTACAGAGGCTCTCTAAAGTTAGCGAGCATTCACTCCGTGCAACTTTGTGTGAGAAACCATATAAAGCCAGAATATAACCGGCATGGTATTGAACCGGACCACAGTAAAGATGACTACCTAATGCCTCTCCTGTTCGGAATAAGGCAGCTTGATTCATTGACATTTCAATTCATAATTATTTTAAAATCCCGTTTCTCAGTACAGTATACGGCACTGGAGATGTCAGAGCCGGGCATCTTTTATCGACTTGTTGCAAGCTCATGTGACTGCAGCATAACGTTTCGGATATTTCTGCATATATTTGATAAATTTGGCACTACTCCCTTTCTTTTTGTGTGTTTCCTTATTCCGTACAGTGTCACCAAAGCAAGGAAACCGTAGGGACGGATATTTCAAATACCTCCGAATTAAAACGAAAGTCAACCATGGAACACAAAGACTCGTTGAATTCGCAAGCAAGCAGCACATACTCATGGTGAGTTGAACGTTGCTGCTGCCTCTCTGTTTTCCATCTGTTGTTTGAACCGGTTTCCTGTACTTAAATCTAATTGATTACATTCGCCTCCAACTCCGACTGGTATTCGACAAACGGTACCCTGGAGCCACTAAATTCACAGAAAGGTCACCGATCGATAAATTACGAGGACTGTACAGGTCTCCATGGGAAGATTTTGTCCATATGTCTCGATATATACACCTGTATATGTATGCGTGTGTTGAAAATCCTCACATGATCCAACCGGATATTTCGTGCACCATAAATATCATTGATCTGTCCACCCACAAGTAGAATGATAACATGATAACATGTGTATTCGGTCAGTTGTTTAGAATCAAGGATCGTTTGTCTAAGTTGGAACAATACAAATCTAACGCGATCCAGTTGAGTATGAATTATTACAGAACTTCAAAATAAATAAATAACGGTAGTGAACACTACTGCTATGATAAAATCAACTTTCCATATTACCGGAATTGGCTTGTTTACGTTTTTTTTTAATTTTTAGAAATCGCTATTCTCTGCCATTTTGTTAACGGCCTAATGAATGCTTTTTTTGACCAGCTGACTCCTGCAAAGTACCTTTTAGCTGGTCACTGATGAGTCAACACCGCAGGTAAAACAAGTGCCTTCTTTGGGTCGCATTCAATCATTAATTTACCCCTTTGACCTCGTTCGCTGTACGGCGATTTTTCAAGCAGTGCCTCAGTTTTTATGTTTCCACTTACGATCAATGTCATTTCGAATCCATACACACACACACACGACGTTACAATAAATCCGGTGACTGATCTTTTAATAACCCCAAATGAACATGTTAAATAACATATCCCGAACTAAACAGATTCCAGTCTTATCCCGCTCGCATTCCGAAATTAATAGTTGCCATGAGTTTTTCTTGTGCCTCGGAGTTGGCTGAAATAAAATTTCTCATACTGTTTCGAACAACAAATGTTTACATTTAAGGAACCCTCATTTTGTGTTGCACTATTTGGTTAGTTTTGAAGACACAACTAAGTTGCACGCATAATAGAACTTGTGGTAAAGTGATTCACCGGGGTGATTCTTAAATGTGCAAACAGCACAGCGTTTCCAGTTGAACATAGAGACCATACCACTGAAGTAGTATGAAGTTGTTGGTTAAACTTTGTGCCCGAGCTAAAACTTAAAACGCCANCCAGCTATGAATGTTTCTAGGGACATGGATTAATATCAAATCAATGTACGTGTCTGTAGCTACATGGTTCCGAAAGAATGTAATGTGATGGTAATAATCTGTAAAGGATAAAAACGGTGCAGTTTACTTACAATTTCGTATCTGCAATAATGACTGTCATGGGACCCAAAACTTAGGATCCAAAATAACGTGGCGAAGCTTAACTATAACATACGGGTGGATTTTTTGATTAGCTCAACCGTATAAAAGCCGCATAAGTGGAGACAGAAGTATTCACCATAATCATACAGTTACTACAATGACTACTTCTGGTGAGTAACCAATATGATCGTATGCTTTTCTTCAGTGCGTGTAGCCAGGTTGCGTATATTTTCGAAGTTTGCAACAGTCGACAGTGTTCGTTGACCATTCAGCTACAGCCCTGTTTCACAATGAGAACAGCCAGAAGGGTCGTACGATTGCGTTCCACCTGATAGATCCCTGGGTTGCATCCTCAGTTAGATTAATTGATGAATAGTATCCAACACGAATAAAACAGCTGTCCAGCGTGTCCTAGCTCTTCAGTTTCTGGAAGAACTTCATGTGTCTTTTCTCTCGTGAATCTCCGCCCCAGTAAGACAAGGTAGGGGATGGTGCTACAGTTAAATCAGTGTGAAACGAGTAGGCTGTAACTGTTTCAAAGGGTGTATGCATGACCTTGTGTGACACTGCACATCAAATGCAAGCCCCACAGTGAAAAGTGGTTACTGTGGCGTCTGCAACTCCACCGACAGCTATGACCCAAAGCCCATCGTGTGAAGGAGAGGGGGGGTCGAAACTCTTGGTTCGCTGTCACGTTTCCACGGCTATTGACTTGCAATCTTTCTTTGAAAGCGAGCCCCAAACGTTATCGATATTAAGTAATCCTTCCGTCATTTTTTCGATTGAAGGAGCTCATGAGAGCTCCCGACTGATTTGTATTCTTGGTTATATTCGAAACTTGAAGCATTGAGCTCCCTTTATCCATTTCAACAAAAGAAAAGGAAGACAAATGTCGCGAGATGTTAACGTTACTTTTAATCTTCTCAGTTGCTGACTTGAAACAAACAGGCACACATATAGCACATGGGATTAATCAATTATGTTGAACGAACGTGTACAAGCAACAGCTGATGGCAACAAGATACACAGTGGACCCCAGTTCGTCTTTCGAACCACTATTACGTAATCGCAATGTTAAACTTTTGGCGATTAGTGAAGCACTGCTTAATCGATTACATCACCCGACCTTATATACACAAACGTTTTTGATACATTCAATCCACGCATCGCGGAGTTGACCCTGTACTTCTAAATTTAGTAATCTTTGTATGCTTGTACACTTTTGTTCACCATAATTGAGTAATCCCATGTGCTATGTATTTGAAACGTCATAAGAGATTCGTTTTCTTTGTAAGTGGTGGATTATTCATGAATCCGCGAACCCAATTGGGGATGGGGAACAGGGGCTTTGATATTCTTTCCGTATTTAGAACTTTTTGTAGCATGCGCCATTTTGCGTTCGTTAGGTTAGTCTTTTAATTTAATGGCTTTTCTCATCGCCGTATGTGACACTTCTGGGGGAAAGCGAAACCTTACAAAAATTATGCGAGACAATATTTTTTGCTTCAGTTCAGCTACTTACTAGTAATTGTGTGGGATTTGTCAAGGAATGTTTGAATGGTCGTCATTCATTCATCTTTACGGACATTCAGGCAACCCCTTTATGAACTGAGAATAGTGTTTGAAGAAGAAGTCTTAAACATGATCAATAAAATTATTGGCGGAATAGCGTCAAATCGCATTACTCTGTGGTCTAATTCAGGTCAGCTTGACTGATGTACCGCGTGACGAACACGTGCTAAAGCGGTGGTCACGCGCGCACAAACAAGCTTACAATATCTCTGCTCACGCTTCTTGCTTTTGCTTGTTCGAACGTAAACCAAACGCACGTCCCCGTGCATACATGCACATAAGCGTGGTTATGACTAGGCCTGGAGGCCGAACGATCGATACCGGCGTGAGAAACGCACAGGTCAGGCGAGCGAATCGGGCCTTAGGGTAAGGTAACCAATGGTTGAACAATTTGGCCCCGTGTATACTACGCACCTTCGCACGCATTTCAGTCCACTGCGCGTGCCCTTGCCAAAACCTACAACACTCACGGAAGCGATTAGTTGTATGTCCTTCCGTCCGTACGTTGGCACGCGCGTGAAATTTGCCCATATAACGCGTCCTGTTCGGTATGGATGCCAATAGCCCCCTGATGTACACAACTTCATCACCCCCGCGGCCATCACCAACGTCCGATGTGAATTCTCGAGGTCCTTTCACCGGTCCTCGACTGCTGGAATCATGTGGTTCCATGTGGGTAGTACGTCGGACTGCTAAACCTACCGCGAACCAGAAAAAGCATGATGAAGGCAACAACAGTTCAGCGGTAGCCAGCGAAATGTCCCGAGTGCCCAACGGATTTACAGATGTATTCATGTTGCATGGGTAAGTCGACGGTTTCTTATCCAATATTTGGGACCCGTGTGAAAGGTTAACAGTACATTGCCTACGCTGAGTAAATAATAAAACAGTCAGCTAAATTCCTAGTTGTGGGTGTCAGGTCGTTTAGAAGTTACTGTTGTAATTCCACAAGGCAGGAAAGTTGTTTATTACGACTAACGGTCAGGGTATCAGTAAATTGTCATTCATTCAGCAAAATATCTCATTTGAAAAGAGTCTACATAATTCCCACACGCACACAGAATAGTTTATGAAACGGTTCACTACTGGATGCGCATTGTTGTATTCACCAGGCCGAACTGCAGCAATTCTCTCCAACAAGGTCTTGATCATTTTTGGCCGTTGAAAGAAACCGCCGATCGCGTATTTTTGAGAAGTACTCACAAATGAATAGCATATCACAACACTGTCACTAGTGTGCATCAAACCTAGGGTCACAGCCTTGACAACACCATCCACTCTGGGTGAACGAGAGATTCACCTTCATCCCAAACAATAACTTGCCTATACTATTTGAGCCTTGTGTGGTTCTCTACTCCAATTCGAAACGCTTAGATGGCTGAGTTGCATGATTATACAGAATATCCTTGCAATTGTTAGGTTCACTCCTCCTTTTTATGTATTCTACTATGATACGTAATAAAAACTCTCCCGAGTATACGAGCGCTGGGGAACTTACTTCGAGCACTGGCTAACCTAAGACTCTAATCACCTTAATGAAATACAAGATAATCTCCATGAAGAAATCCAATTCCAGAGCTGATACAGTCTCTACCCACATCTCTCTAACGCTATAAAAATATCGTTCAAATTGACTAATACCAAAGCTGTGAATGGTGTTTTGAAAGATCTGCACTGCACAAATACCGTCCGCTTCTCTTGGAACGAATAAGTGCCTACTTTCATCTTCAAAGGCTATCACCACAACCGGGATATTGTGCGTCCAATTCCAAATTGTCTCTTCAGTATCTGAACCGTTATTTATCCAGCAGTATAAAGCCCGACTACTAAACATATGGCTGGGGACTATAATCGCTCTTAATGAGATTCGAAAGACAGCACCTCGCTTGGTGAGCGTTAGCGATCAATATGGGCTGTTTTAAATTATTTGAATATTAGAGTGCACATTGTGTACTATACCTCTTCTCTAAGATCAACTTAAATATAATCCCACAATCACTCAAGGTGATGCAGCGTTGGAAACGGTGCACAGCTTCATTTACCATTGAAATAACCCAACAACTGGGGGAGGGGTGATGTTTGGGGCAAGAATTCATCTCGCCTCACGAATATCCGGCTGATACTCGACAACTTAAAGTATCAATGACCTTGTCATGGAATCCGGACTTCCTATGAACGGACGAGTATACAACGTCAACACTTGAAATGTTTTCTTCTTCGACAGTGCTTGATCATCACTGTTTCCGATCTACTGTTCGTGTTTGTTTGCACCACTTGTTAAGAAACCACCAAAGCAGAAAACTGAATATTCGTTTTAGATGGCGGGTTGGTCACAGCAAAAATATACAACTAATGGTTTGGAAACGTTTCATTCCATTCAGCTTTTTACAACTAATCACAGTACACGTTTCTGACCCCGTTTTGGTTGCTCTCATGACGGCGAATTTGAATGGAAGAGTGCAGCGTAGATTGGAATGTTCAAACCAGTGTCAGAGTGGAAATTGGAAAGTCATGAAGACAATGGTTGCAAAGAAACTGAAGAGGTGCTTGGGACCATAATAGGCCTTACTTCTGAACAAACTTTGGCGAAGTGTCTCACTGATTGGTCTAATACAAAGCTGGGGAACAAAGAGGTTGGAAGTAGTATTTTCATAACCGTTAACCATCCACCATTGGGCAGCGGTTTGGTTGCTGTATCCACACCGCAGCATTGGATTCCGTTGACTGTTTTAACTGGTCGATTGAGGCACGATGGTTCCTAAATGCTTTAGTAGTTAGCAATTTAAAGGGACCTGACCCAGAATCAAAGTCACTGGCAGGAATGCTGCGAAAGTTCACTGTTAAGTGACCGTGACCAGGAAGACCAAACTGTGTATGAACGATGATAACCGACATGACTTTCGCATTACAAAACGATGAGAAACAATATCCTTGTAGTCCTCTTTTCGTTCTCCCTTTGTACCATGCTGGTATTTTGCTTGTTTCAGACAGTTCATTAAAGATAATCCTAAAATACATACACTGTTTCAGAATTCAACATTACTTGTGTTCCGTCTATAGATCCTGACAAAAACGGTTTTTTCGTTTATAGGCGCCCAACTGTTAAAGCCCAAAAAAATGGATCAATCGTGGGCTATTTTTGATTGTTTTCCCAAAATTCATTGCCAAACACACAAACATTTGTACTCACTTTTTATCACCCAAATCTTAACTCAAAAATAGCTGTCAAAAGTCAGTGTTTTCTTTCCGATAAAAAATAATTTCCTGTGTCTTTATCTCAACCGGACACAAAACTGGATTGTGAAGGAATGAATATAAGCTTATTTTCATATTTATGTTGACCCCCACTCGGATAGTTTGTTGTGCAGCTCGGTTCGCTTTGTTACTTCAAACCTGCAGTTTACCTCAACCGAACGAGTTATTGAGTGCTCATGTAGATATATAGATATATGAGTATGCATTTTATTTGAGTCCTCGATGTGACTGCTACATTTTTCTTCTCATATTCTTCCCCTCACTGCAGAAACAAAGATAGTTTCACTGCTTTCTTTTTGTTACTGAAACTGTCAATTCACAGCCCTATCTGTGTTGTGAATAGGTAGNTAAAAAGTCAGAGATCCGGGGACTGGATCACTGTTTTCTCTTCCTTGTGTAACTGTGATAGTTAGGCTATGGTTATAAAACTATCTTACTAAGCTGAGTTGAATTTGAGGTTTCAGTCGTCCTGTAGTAGTAGTAGCAGTAGTGTTAGTGGTATTGCTTTCCCGTTTATTCGTTCACGGTGAAATTCTCTTCATCTTTCACACATCTGGTAGTTCGATAAACACATATTGGCTGATAGAACGCGAGACCNAGAAGTTTCTCCTTCCCAAGAAGTAGAACAATTGGTTTTCAGCTAAATCAAATTGCGGGTTTACCATCTTAGCCTCATCTGTTCTCCCATCTCTCTCAGAAAAAGCCATAAATTGGAATTCGTGTTGTTCGTTGATGAATGCATGGCCTTAATAAATTGATACTTATGAATTAGCAGGTGAGGTATGAAAAATACTTTTCAGTTTATGTGTGATAACTTTCGTTTCGCTTACTCTTCTGAACCAAATATACTCATCTCCCCAGCTGCTGGGACAAAATTGGCTTTCACCAGCTTTTCTTCGGTTAATGAATTAGTGACAATAATCAGTTCACGGAGCCAGATAAGACCTTGTCCACAAGCACTGTTCCCTTGCTAGATTTGAGCTGAAATCCACCTGAGGCAGTTATCAACGTATGACTATGTTTGCTTAGTTTACATGCTGATTTAAAATGTGTAATATATTTCAAGTGTTAATTCATAGGAGATCACAACATTAATTTTCTGCTTCTCCGATCATCACTGAAAATCCGGTTTCGACAAACTATCTCCTTTATCCCTTCCAGTCCAACTGCGCCTAAAAACCTGTTGTCTAAACACAAATGATCTTATGTCGATAGATCATCAGTCATCAGTCGAATTCTGACTGCGTATTGCAAAGAATGTGAGTGAAAAGTCGCACAATTGTTTGGGAACGCGGTTCATACAACACCACATTTTCATTTACCATCCCCTGCTCTCTTCAAATCGGGCATCCTTCAGTGGAACTTTGAGTTCTTATACGAGCCAACAACTTTTCAATGAACATGCATCTGATCAGCGCAGTCTGACGACGACAGCTTGTCTTGCGAGCACAATGGTATAGTTTGCGTAGGTCTCAAAAACGCATCAGGGTTTCCTCCAAAACTCTTCAACTGGTCGAGCTTAACATTATCATCATTATTATATAACAGAATCACTTCGGTTCCTTGATTTTGGATGGTTTTTGCACCAAATGCCAAAGTAACAGATGCATCTCATGCCCAGGGCCTTGAGACGTATCCACAATGATTTCACTCTATGATAAACATTCTAATTACGAGTAAGATTCACGCATTTAGGTTCTGAATTCATAGTTTACGTAATCGGGCAAACAGCATTTCGTTGTTTGCTATTCTAATCACCTTTCGCAGACAAGCACCAATGATGACTCCGTCCATTCCACCTCCATTCACCTCGTAATTCTAACAGATCTGTCCTTATTCCTGTTGTGCAAAATGTGGCGTGATTCGTATATAGTTAATGGAATAATAGACTCATCAACTACTGATCGCTCCGTCTCAGAAACATAGCTAGCTCATTTAGGGGTGAGCATACCAGGAAAGGATTGTCCAAATTCTCACGAGTTGATCCATGGCAATCTACATAGTTTGCTTTTGGTGTCACAGAATTAAAAGCCTAGCGCAAATATGTTACCAAGGCGATTCTTATCGAGGAGGCTGCATATATCTTCGGTAAGTGTTCAGTCCCACAACAAGTCTTAAAAAGAAACGAAATAGAGTGGGACTGCCGACGGAACCGTGGTAGTGTAGTCTGCATTTTGCCGAATCGTGGCCTGCGGTCTAACACCTTGTGAGGAGAAAACGCATCGCACTCGGTGCGTACTGAATCGAAAAGTACTGGATTTGAATTAATGAATCGCATATTACTTCCGTCGACAGAAAAGTTACTCATGATGATTCTTTGGTAGTAAGCTTAAAATGAACTGAATTACTGACCATTAAGCTTATGTCAAATACCTTGAGCATGCAGGTCTGATCTTCTTTGTGTGAAACTCATGTTGTTGATATAATTTCGTCCCGTTAGTTCCAATAGACCGGGTCATAAGCAAAATGGCTAGAAAACTGATCATCTATGGATATTTGCCCCCTGGTTCCGCCGTAGGAAACCAAAAGTTGCGATGAAATTCCTCGCGTGATTGAACCTAATCCTCTTTAGCTCATTGGCAGCAATTAATCAGGTTCATTATATGTCTGGTGGAGTCGTAACCCCGGAGGCTAGCTCTGAGATGAGTAACGTTTTGCTAATGTCGTTTATAGACAAAGTGAAACTGTCTGACCAGCTACCCTCTGGTCCAGTGGGCAATGTGCTTTCGTCCTGGGTTAGAGTTTCAGTTGAGTTAATGGGTTCGCAATGTTGACGAGATCCATTAAGATAGAAAGAGCTTTCCATTTATTCTCGCCTTTCAATTGCACACGACAAAATATGCGTGCGTCTCAGTGAAGCAACTGTGTACAACTCAAATTGGAATTACGAGCCGTCAGTCTCGTGTGGATGTCATCAGCAAGACAGTAAGTTTAATGATTATAAACCAATAGTCCGCACTTGGTAACGGTAATCATTGATAGGTGGCATTTTTACTCTGTCGGTTGTTCGTCCAAATCAGTTTCTGGTCAGGTGGAATGAGTTGTCTGCACAAGGATTGTATACACAGTATGCGTAAAATGTATTGAGGTTCATAGTTGAATCAATAGTAGAGAAGATGCCAGTATGAATAATAATTTATGCAAGTGACTCGCTTTTCGAAATCCTTTGATTGATTACTTTAAAGATCTCGCATTCGCACGTCAAAATTCACACATAAGTGCAACAGAAACTGATGTACAAGCAATGGGTTAGTAAAAAGCAATTGAATTATTTTCATTTACAAGCTTGGACATATTTTCACAAATAAAACCATCCTGACATTTGAGCATTTAAATGTTACATACATAATCCATCTTGTTTTACAATCCGATTATTTTAAGAACAGTTTTCCGTATCTCAGGAAGTTTCATATTTCTCTCTTTCTCTGCCTACCCTCTGTCATCAACTTATTGAACCACAGGTCCAGTGAGCCGATATCGTGTGGTATTGATGTGATCACGGGGCACTTGATTCTGGTATGTTCATTCTCAACTCCTGTGATGGTTCGTTTTATCTGAATGGACTGGTTATACACGCTCCCCCCACCCCACCCCACCCCATCCCTACACATGCTTTGATAGATGACGCGTAGAACTTAGCGCTTGAGGTTTGAAATGCTTGACAAAAATGTATTAAAATGTGCACTACAAGTCGGAAGTTCATTCCCATTTACACAGGTGTGTCCAACACCCTAAAACTCCCGGGACAAATCCCTCAAGATTGAGCAGAGGCACGACATGCTAATGTGCATACATGAAACAGGACCTGTTGCTTATCTATAATGGTGGTGAATGTCTAGTTCAATGGCTACAAATCATGCGACTGAGGACTCTCGAGCTCAAGTATCCGTTGTACGAGTCGGAGGGAGGGAAACAGTCCATTGGTTTTATGAGATTACTGGTATTTATTTCTATCTTGTTCCGACGGTCCTACGTATAAGAAATCAAATTTCAATATGGAACTGACACTTTTCCTCTTATTACGGTACTGACCTCCATACAATTTCGTCTAAACCCGGGGTCTGTCACCTCCGTCCTGCTATCCCACGGCTTTGCTCAGTCCTATATGGAAGCCTATTTGCGAGAGGATAGCCGCATGAATGCAGACTGGGAGGCAGTGAACGCTTACGAGGCCGAGGAGGCCACACCGTGCGTGGATGCACAACGGCCAGAGAACCTGATGAAGAACCGCTTGATCGCTCCATTACCATGTAAGTTGTCCTTGCATTGATAATACTGTTATTGGCCTGTAACCGGTTAATGTAATGATATTTGAGGTTACCAAATGTTCCTGTTGATACCCGTGAAAAGACTGGAGCAAAACAAAACAATTTGGACCCTCTGTGAGTTAGTTGGATACATCAAAGTTCTATAGATCAGAACGAAAATGGATGAGTGGATGAAGAGCTCACCCTGTGGAAATTCACTGGGTTGAAATAAAGCTATATATTCAGAAAATAATAACCAGAATGTGCTTAACACCACCTTGAAGCTCAAAAAACAATCGGGGAAATCCACTTTTTCTGAATCAACCATGAATAAAGGAGGCCGGATAGTGTAGCCATTCACTCGGGAACACAAAGAATGGCATTCTTAAAACGGAAAACCTGACTGTGTCATGTGTGGAGTTGGCCATGGAAGACGAAGTGTTCTTACGAATTGTTTTGCTAGGCATAGGGGAGATTACGTAGGCGGATTCCGATTGTACCCGCTGTTCCAAATGCGACTCCTAACCCCTTTGGATCGACGACCGCGGGCTAAACCATCCCTCTCCCCCGCCCGCCACTATGGACTAAAACCAATACGTACTGGAGATGACCAAGGTGTGAGAAACATCTGGTCATGGAGCTTGAACGTTGATTATTCTCCGTCCTATTTTGTGAGAATCCTCCCGCAAAAATACTCAATATTTTTCCATAAATTGTGAAATGCTATCAAGCGGTTTTGTTGAATACTTTGATAATGCGATGAAATTCTATACTTTATCTCGAGTGTGAGGATTCGAGTTCCGGATTAAAGACATTCGCTGACAAGGTATAACTGTGTGAAATCTGCGAACCTGAATAACGACACGTTGTGACAAACAGTTTTGGTGCTTATTTATCGTGGATAGAAATCACGGTCGGTTGCACATAGTTTTATACTCCAGGTCTCAGATCAGACGCGCGTGCTGATGTTGATAATAACGTATCGCAAATGATCACAACTGTTTTCACCTTGTTGATAACCCCCGACATAATTATTTCTTCGACCCAATAGATAACTGATACGAAGAGCTCGTCGGTAGGACACAAGCACATATCGATCGAATAAGTAAATTGATCCGTTTTTTTTCTGCGTCGGATCTATTTGATTTCTACTATCGTCCTGACATTGACTTTCATGGCTCAAGTTCACTGCAGTGGCTTTAGTCAACCATTATTTTTAAAGAAAGTCTTTGACAAATTACGCTACAATAACACGCTTTTAATGGAATTGTGGGAAACAATACAAGGCAATTCACTCCTGACCGTTTTACCCCTTGCAGACGAACAGTCGCGTGTCCGCTTGCGATTCGGTGACAATGACTACATCAACGCTAGTCTGATTGTAAGTTTTGATCTCAAATCAAACCTTTTTTGACGGCCGAATAGTGTCATTGAATATTTGGTGATGAAAGTCGAATTACCGGTTTTCAGCTTTCAAGATTCGGTGATTATGGGCTATTCGCTTGTTATACAACCTCAATGGTAGTAGGATTCTCAGGAAAGCTTTATTGATTCACTTTTTCTATTTCCACTGAATTCAATAGAATCTTAGACATGATTTTCGAGACAAGCTAACTTGTTTTCGCCTCTGTGTCAATTAAATCATCAATCGGTCAGAAAACGGTGGATTTAAGTGAATATGAGATCAGTTTGGAAATGCAGTGTGAACAGTTTTTGTTACGATGGAGGAATCTGAACTGATGAAATCAAGTGTTTGTTTTTCTGTCCATCATTCGTGTTTCTCAGTTGGGTGGAAAAAACAGTAGTTTGCTTGTTTTACGTTTTTGGCAAAAGTGCTTTGATAGCTATCACCGGCTCGCTTGCAAACTGGTCTACAGGGCAAAAGGGCCGTAAACTGCAAAGCGGCAAGCACTGGACAGCTGCGTTCACCTCGTGAAATTTTGCCAGTGCTGATGTAAGCGAGATTAGGTGCTCGCAGCACGCTTGATAACATGAAAAACGGCCTGATCAGCTGTCTTGTGTGTAACTGGTAATTATGCTTGTGTGTTGTCTGTGCAGGCCTGTCATCGGTTCCCATTTGGGGTTGATAGGGTGGCACTGCTGATGGGAACCGATATGGTCTAAAGACAGTGCTTAACCGTTATCTTCCCCTGTTTCCGATCCAATTCATCACGCAATCAAAATAATCAACCGCCTGCCCCACGCAACTAGTCAACTAAAAAAGGGAAACTATATGAAACTGGACAACACTTTGGCTAGTTGGTTTTGCTCAAATTCCTAGATCTTTGAGGTTGGTTAGCAAATCACTTAGCATATTGAATTCTGACTGAGATTAAGAAGAATACGGACAAAGTCCTTTGATGAATCATAGTGAACCATATTCATCTTTCTCATTGATGAAAATTGACGATATTTTCATTTGCTCTCATCTGGTCCAGTACGATCACACTCCAAGAAACCCGGTCTATATTGCCACCCCGACACCGCTAGCGGACACCGTCACTCACTTCTGGCAGATGGTGTGGGAACAGAGCTGTGTGATAATTGTCTGTCTGGAACGTCCGGCTGATCTGAAACAATATAACGAGCAGCTGGCCGACCCCGAGCTGACCGACGCGTGTATCCAGTACTGGCCGAATGAAGGAACTCGAGCTTACGGAAATTTTGAGGTTAGTTCTACAGTCTTGCCTCAGTTTCGGTTGCCGTTGTTGTTGTTATCCTCTGTCCACCCCATTTTTCAATCTTAAAACCGAAGTTTCAGTGTAACCAAGTCGAGATTTGAGATCTAACGAGCTTTTGATGCGCGGTGAAAGTGGGTGGAGGCCTTAGAGAGTAGTTTACGTAATACATTTGAATGATATACAATCTCCAGGCTGATTTTATGTACTATCACATGTAATGATCTATTATGAAAGGGAAAAACACTATAAGTAAAATCATGGGTTCAAAATCGAATAATAACATTTAATCTTGTCTTAGTGCCAATAACTTGTATATCGATGTATTATTATTGTGGTTTTGCGTGCATATATGCATATTAAATTTATCCCAACTATCCTCGTTTTGTCCCATTTAGGTTCATCTGGTTTCCGAACACAGCTCGTGTGACAAATATGTGGTTCGTTCGCTGTATTTGAAGAACTTACAGACCTCAGAAACACGGACCGTCACCCAGTTTCACTATCTGACATGGAACAACGAGAAACTGAAGAGCGAAACGAAAGCACTTTTGGATTTCCGTCGGTACGCCCACGGTATAGATGAATAAAACTAACTTGATGTTTACGCATTTTGATATTTTTCTTCTAATTGCATGTCGTGATTAGTGTGAAAACCTAATACTATCACCACGAGTGATGGCTGCGGTAGCCAAAAGGTAGTAAATCGCTTTCAATGGTGTGTTTAGGGTCTGGAGTTTTAAGTATCAAATTCGATCACAGCCAACTAACTTTGCTGGTCGGCAATTCAGCTGTCGTCTTGACCCTCTTGTCTGATTCCTGCTTTATGTGATTAATCACATCATGCCGACTACCGTCAGCAGACAGTAGGCCCGTGTGACTATGGAGTTGATTGTCCATCATACTACTATCGTGCGCAGTGAAGAACGTATCGGTTGATCAACGACAAAGCTGTTCATCATCAACATCAAGTGAGACTCGAATAGCCGACCTTACGGTCTGATGCACATCAGTGACCACTATAAGAGCCACACAACTCTTGTACATATAAGATATAATACCCTCAGTAAATGTTACGCTAACATAGCCAGCTCGGAAGAGGATATGACGTCACGGTTGACGTCTATTTGTATTGTGATTGGGGTCATCATAAAAGTGGCCCGGATGCCACGTATTCAAACCCCATCAACGGCGCCCTTCTCCCCATCTATGCATATCTCTGGATGGTCTTCAATGAAGCACAGTCGTCTTCCTGTAAATCGTCTGTACCAATGTACGTTCAAAAACGAAAAGAATGCACGACAATT